CGCTTGTTAAATCTCCCTTGAAATCCAAGTTCATGTAGAGTTTCTTTTTCGGCGCAAGTGAAATTTCATTTCTCCAAATTCTTGGTTTGATATTTTTGTCGATGAATCTTATCGGGTATCCATTTTGGATGAAGATTTCTCTTAGAATATCTAATTCTGTTTCTAGAACATCGGAACGACAGATGGATCAGATGCGGGTGGCAAATGACTTAACTGAATTCCGCTTTTATTGAATGGATGTGTACGCAGCTATAGAAGCGTGTTAGCTGACCATTCTAAGTAGCTTTTCTATGGATCGATCTTCTTAGGCTCCCATCAGTTCTTCTTGTTAGGTCCACATCAAGAAACGGAATTTTTGTTTCGTTTCCCATTTCAAGAGTGAATTTTATTTCTGAATGGCAACAGTTAAATATCTTCAGCATTAGAACAATTGTTTATGCAATTAGGGATTAAATATGTGGATATAATAAAATGACTAATAGACAGGGAGTTCGGATATGAAAATATGGTAGTGTAAATAGGGATTAGGAAAAACCTAAATATAATATGAATAATCAAGAAGTTTGAATAAGAATTGTAATGGAATTGTCACTATTAAAAGAATTACGAGCGCGTGTTTTGAAGTTAGCGCATGGTATGGCCGATTTACTCAGCTCCTCACGAGCAAGTAGACCTGTATGTGCACGTTGAAGTAGCCCAATGTGACAGTCTGTCTTTTGCGTTCTGGTTGAACAGTTTCTTGTTTTTGCGTCGCTTATTAGAAGTCCCCGTTACTTATTTTTCCTGACCTGCTATCTGCATTTCATTATGGAGTCAGTAGGGGAAGTTGTTGGTAAACTTTTGCTCACCATGACGAGGTAAGTCTCTCGAACATATAGAACTGATCCATTATTCGTATTGAAAATAAAATAGTATTCTAAACGCTGATTACAGGAGATTTTCAGACTGATTTCAGTTGTTTGCAGGTCTTTTTTATCCTCACTAGCTTTGATAGCTCAACTCCTGCCACCTGAAGGTAAGAAGATTCTTAAATAGGTGACTTCCTTTGAACTTCTTTTAATACTGATTGGTGCTCGTTGCTGTTGCTTTGTTGTTTTCATCACATTCGTCTTCTCTTTGCTCAGTCGAAGTCCTGTCTTATCTGCCTACCTCTTCTGCATGTTTGTATTGGATTTTGCCTGTAGTTCTTCGAGTTTATGTGGCAGTGGACATAAATCAAACGTGAAATACAGATACATACATAGCCTTCTTATCTGTCAGTCCAAAACACTCCTATTTTCCCACTCCTCACGCACAGTCTGAAGCATAATCCATTCCTAAACAATAAGGAATATCATCCTTGATAATAGGCACATTTGCGTTAAGCCTGTCTTAAGTTCAAAGAATTCCCTGAAATTCCTCTGTAGATAATATGACATATGGCATCGTTATGTAACCGCCGAGTGAAGTTGATAAAGATATGGGACACGCCATAGTGCCGAAGCAGTTTCCCAATTACTACACGGTTAAAGCTGTGTGAAGTCTCATGAAATATATTGAAATTAAATGAACTGTCTGTCCTGCATCTTGTGACCCACAAGGCACATTTCTCACTCATATAGAGAAATCGCCTGACGCAGTATGGGTGATTTAAATAAAATACTTGTGTATATTTCGACATGGCAAGCTTTATTAGACACACCATTACGCCTGCATTAATTGATCAGGAGTCAAATTTCCCTAATATATGCACAAACGCCAACAGCCGGCATTAAAACAACTACAGAAAGATTAACCGAACCATTTCAGTACGTCAGCCAATAAAAGCGAAAATGCTGTTGTTATGTTTGTGTAGATTATTAGAAGGACCTATGTGACAGCTTAGCACTGGATCCTATATAAAACTCACCATAGCAACATCAGTTTTCACTTTGAACATATGGAACGATGAAAGGAGAAAAAATGCTAAAGTGAAATCAGCACTCTTTGCAATATATGTGTATGTGAAGACGATTTTAACCAGCAGGAAATCGCAAACGACAGAGCATGAGAAATATGCACGCATCCACACCGCAATACACAAAGACTTGTGACAACCACTTGGAATCCTGACAATCCGTCAACTCACACATTGTGTCATCTGATTCATCATCAGCATTGTCAGTAAAGTTAGCTGATGATGCAACATGGAATTTAGTAGCAAATCGACACTCCACTCTGATTCGCAGTGACAAATGATCACAATCTCAGAGAATATCTATGCTAAGCTACCAGCAATATTTCACTGTCGCTTTCACTCAATGTATGAACGTGAAATTGTGTTATTCGGACGACTGATAATCCCTGTGGAAGTGAAATCCATCAGATAATAACGTGGCTTATCCACATGGCGTGAATTCGACCACAGGTGAACACTCGTCTCCGGCTTCTGTCGCATACAATTCAATGAAAGACATCGGTATCGTATAACATAATTGCACACTCACTTTGGTTTCATATGCACTCACTACTTTTGTTGATGTAATTAGAGAAGTAGGCGCGTATTGAGTAAGTAAACATTTTACTTTGTTAAATATTTTCTGATAATTATGGTGTGATGAGTGACTTGTTGATGTAATTTCGTGCAAGGTCGTGCACAGCATATTTCACATTTCTATTTATAAATGATAACCGTAGAGAAGAGAAGAGAAGAGAAGCGAGAAACAGATTGTGATATACAAATAGGCGGATTATAATTTCAGATATAGTTTCTATTCATTCATTCTTAATTACAAGTACTATTGATTCATTCTTGTATTAGCTTAAGCAGTAGTGCGATGACCTTCATCAGTTAACTTCGGCTCAGGTTACTCAATACCATTCACACTGACACACGCTGACGTGGCTTATGGTGGCTTTATTCTGAAGAGAGAAAAACAGTAGTATGGACGAGTATGATTAAGCACTTTTGATGAGATAGATACTTGCATGCGGTGCTCAACACCCATGGTCTTTAAACGGTAGTGTTATCTGATCAGTCAATGACGAATGCTATTCAGAGTGATTGCCACTCACCACCCAATACATTCTTTCGACATGAACACTACAAATGCAGTTATGTTATTTCATGCTTCTGCTAAATCACTGAACTGTTGAACGCACCTACTCCTGCTCAAGGAATTGCAATTCGCCAAAGGACACAACATGGCTGTGATTTTGAATAGTCCCATCTCCACATAGGGTGAACTGCGACCTGCTTACCAAGCAGAGAAACGTCTTATTGCTGTCTGTCAACTGAATATTGGCTGTGCCATCGATAATTTGCCTCTGTCATGAAATGGCGGTGAAGTGATAGGACGGATACACGCATGTAAATTATAGTGATTATTTTTCTTTTTGTGAAAGCTCGTCGAACATATTGACACAATTTCTGACTACACTGATAGTTTTATCAACAAATCTCGGTCTACTCAGAAACGACTATTTCATACTGAGAACCGTATTAAAGGTTGCCTGTAGGACAGGCAAGGACAAGTGTTGTGCCACCTCTCAGCCAACTCGTTACTACTCTAGTCGACAGACACCTAAACTCGTGTGGGAAATCTTCTCAACTGATTTTGTCTGACTCTCAACCCCGCTCTATTCAACACAAATCTCACTGCCTTACGTCTATCTCATCAAGTATGGCAGGACGTCCGACACTAGTTCAGTTATCCAATAATCTTATTTATCAACATTGATATTATCATCATCATCATTTCACACTTTTTGTGAATCTGTGAATTTTTTGTCAATGTTAATGCTATCGAACTCAATTCTTGTTATGCATTACTTACAATGTTATATTTTCTTTTCACGATTAGGGTTGTCGAGTAAATTGCATGCAATATTGTACCAAAAGTTGAGAATTCCACACTCTACCAAAACCACCGTTCAACAATAAAGCAGAGCACTTTTATTATCATTTCATTATTACCACGTACTCGTGAAAGCCGCTTCAGCATTACACCTCCATGATATTCCATGTTTCAGCATGCAAAATACAACAACACATCTCAGGAAAACGACTGACGCACGCTCATTGTCAATGTGAATGGAGCACGAATTATCAGAAACAATTACAGAGTCAGCGATATTCTATGCCGAAACGGTTTCATAGAGTTACACTGAACTTGCCACTTTTCACACGACCGGTAATCTCTGTCGAGGCGAACATATGAGAATGTTCGTAAACCACTTCTTCACACAGCCGAATGTAAAGATATGCCAGGCGAGACTAGTTCAGCTGAAGTATAAATCTATAAACAGTATATTTAGGCAACACGCTCTAGCTGAAGAATGCTCTAGGGAAATCCAAAGAGGCACTGTCATCTCGTCTCACCTATCCGAATACTAGCATTTCTTCTAAGTGTTCACGCTCTTTCAAGATGAAATTAGAAGAGAAGGATGTCTAGTGAATTCGTTGAAACCTTACTGTTTCGATTTATGACTTGGTTCTGCTGTCTCTCACCTCATTGTAACGCTCAGCCTATCTGACGTTTCTACTCACAAATGATAACAGCATGGCGAAACACACTCTGATGTATCAATAGGCTGATTATCATTTCTTGTTGATTATGTGTATTCATTTGTGAGTATTGGAGGAATGTGTTGAAGTATTCTAGCGCTATTATTATTATTATTATTATTATTATCAGAGACTCAGCCATCTTGACTATTTATGATTTGCGAAATTTGTTCACTAAGATGATCAAGATGTGTTCGACGAACTGCTCTCATGAGAGATCACCAGTGTTTGATGAGCCAGTATGATGTAATAAACAATGTGGTACTGTAGACATTTATTTAAATTTTGTGCAATATCAATCAATTGAGAGGTGGAAAGATAATTCCATCCACAACTCCTCATCAAATAGTGAAGTCTGAGGTGTGTTTGTGATAGGTCCTGAAAACCTGTCACATTCCAGTCATAATGTAACAGGGATTCGAGTTCGATAGTGAAATGCAACAGACAACTCGACGGTGGACAGAATACACCCGTTTTATTTGTGATGCGCCTGTAGAACTGTGCCCAGAGGAATATCAGAAGAATTCACCTGACTGTCATCGATGGGAAAATATTCCTTAGCATACGAATCATACATCCAATGTGCACATATCCAATAACCATCTTCATTGATTGCATTACAGTCTGCAGGATCAAACTGTGGTGAAAACTATGAAATAAATTCGAAAAGAATATATGGCAACTACTCAGTTATATTAGACAAAATTACCTGGCAATGGTGAATCATGTGTACATAGTATTTGCAGAGTTGATTCTGTAAGGATTAGGTTTGGTTTTCGAGTTCCACCGCGGATTGATATGAGTAATAGAACCACTGAAAGCAAGGAAGTACTGGACAACTGTTTATCCAAGTTTGGAAATCAAATCCATTTCACAATCACTGAGGTTCGAACCCAGGACCTTCCTGTTACAAGATAAGCTCGGAAAGTACTCAGACAGTGAGACTCAAAACTTTGAGTGTCAGTTTTCGAAGGTGTTTAGTAAACATACAGATGATTTCGATGTAGAAAGTGTCTGATTGCTTTCAAATTTGTCGCAGTTGGGCATCACTCAGAGAACAACTCCTTTTTTTCTAAAATTTGGATTCGATTTGTTAACAGACTGACAATGGATCGATATTAGTCGGATAGCCGCTTGCTGTTTGCTCCCTATACTTTTGGATTCATCGACAGTACACACCGACTCGAAACCGAACCCAACAACTTACGGTTGCAAGTCAAGTGCATTGTCACTACTCAAACCACCATGAATTACATTTAGTAAACAAATAAATAAAGAGGCATAAATTACAACATGAAAATTGGCTACAAAGACTGCATCGTTGGCAGTAATTAATGCGTTTCATTAGAGTGGGGAAATTCATTCTTCCCAGTAAAGAAGTATTATGAGTCAGTGAGGCTTGGGTCTTTTCACTTAGGAATATTTCATACTCTTAGCTTGACTAGTCAGTGTCATTATCCAGTTCGTCTCGTCTTCATTTGAATTTGCTAGGGAATGCCACCAAGTCCACCGAAGAAGTAGAGTATTCAGTATGTCAGGTGATGAATAGGAGGGAAGACACAACAACGGACATCAAATCACTATCAACGCGAGAGACCAAAGTGAGGCCAGTTAGTCTACTGGGTTCACAGACTTTGTGTACATCACCAACATTAATTTCCTCAGGCCGCAGGCTTTCATTGACAGGTGGTTGTTACATTTAGTGAGTCACAAGGAATACAGAAAAAGGAAATCAATCAGCGAAGCAGGTACAGCATAAATTGAGTTATTTCTTATTGTGCTGTTTACACAACGAAACCTCCAACCAAGGAACCAGGAGTCGGTACATTAGTTATGAAGACTGTAAAAAGCAGTATTTCACACCCACAATTAATTTTAGAGTGGATTTAGTTTCACTCAATAGGAATTATGGACTGTAATGCATAAATAAATCGACGTTGTTGTTTATAGATTTCAAATTCGTGTTAAACCGCCGACTGCCGACCGCTGAAGCAGCAGGAGGTAAATATAAGTTGATAAGAAGATGAAGCGAACAGGGAGTCGACCATTAAAATAATCGCTTTCTCCATCAATATTGAAGTGATTACTCAGGTGTTCCATGTTAGCACTCCTTGTGGCTACCGATCACAAGATTGATACTATTTCTGCCCATACAATTCCATACAAGGGGCCACCTCAATTCCATATGTCTGTAGGCCATCATTGTTGAACAAATCTGAGACAGTCACCATAAAATCATTTTCACTCCAATCGTTGTGTTCACGAAAGTTTATTCAATCTCTTTCCTCAAACTGTAACAACACAAGGCGAGACAAAGAAGTCGAGGTTTATTTATCATTAATCAAACCACTGTTTATATATCTACAGTTTATATTCGTTAGCCGACCGTTGAGCGTGCAATGACCAGCCGACAAGAAACTCTGTGAACGAACCAACAAGCGAGAAGCTGTTGCCGAACAAATGTTACGAAGAAAATGAAGATGGATTGGACACACGCCACTGATGAGGACGTCGAGTAACATTGCACTCAGTGCAGCCTATTGCTTGTGCGGATGGCGAATGGGAGACGGCGAGTCAGGCGTATGTCTGGGGGTGAAATAATGGAGACCATGCGAGACGGAGATCAGAGAATATAGGCAACTGTGTGATCAGCTGATGAGTATCATGTGCTCCGATTTCCTGTCACATGTTGGAATGTGTTCACGTGTATCTCAGAATATCTTCATAGTACCAAAGAACAAATGGTATCTGACATTTCGCTCGTATTTTCAATCGCATACAGTTGTGTTGAGTGGTGCGGTAGACTACTCATATAATTTTCCACTAATTTTACATCCACGTGAATTTGACGATTTCGAATGAGAGAGGGATTTGATGTAAACATTGTCCATAATGTGTAAATTTCTAATCCACTACATAGGATGCCGTTACACTGACAACAATGCATGCTGAAGTTGACAGCCTACAAACTTTCATCAAATAATACTTGCAAGGATGTGAATTTCACCACTAAGCACACTTCCCATATACGCATAAGTTAGGTGGAAAATATATATATCAATGAAGGAAGAAGGTGAGCTGAATAAACTTGATTGTGAATATGCCACTTAGTAAAATGCTCATCTCAAATGTTGATTGCTCCAGCCCAGCCCAGCCGTACTCACCCATTCACACAACCGAATGCATTATTAGCGTTGGTCACAAAAATATGAAGCAGTATTCATGAAATGTATTGTCAGTGAAATCACAAGCGTGCATGAAATATTTGTGATGACGGTTTGTGCCAGAGATGCATCATCAGTTCGATTGATCATATGTGCTTCTCAGAGTTCTTTGTGATATTCATTCAGTTAACTGTTCTCTCCAATGGATACTATTTATCTTCACCAATAGCCTTCAGCGTCAATGGTATAAATTGGCCTACTGACATAGTGAGTATTTGTGTGCGTCACTGTAATCGAGCACTACTATATTGTTCAGGACTGTGAAAGAATTGCCACACTGTGTTTATTGAACAGTATGAAAAGTATGAATTGAGTTGATCATCACAGGGTCACAATATCGGAGGCACGGCGAGTGATTCTTGTGCAAGTCGACATCGGGAGAAAATATCCACCTTAAAGTGTTGCTTCGTTGTAAACGTTGCCACGAGTTTGACGCCCGATCTGTTGTAAAGCACAGAAATACATTCGTTTCAAATGGTGTCACCACCCCTCTTCGTTACACTGTTTACCTTGTCTGATAACGGGACCCAAGAATGGGCATTCTAGAATACGAATTTCAGTCTCGCTGTATTACATAAGCAATTGTAATATAATGGCTCTATTCGCACTATTGCTTAAATGAGTATGGAAATAGCTTCAGTTCTATTGGCTTTAGCATCAGTGAGTGAACTGGTGACACAGTGTTAGCCTTACAGTATGGTAAAATGAACATTCACTGTGGCAGAGACACGCTGTCTCTTCACAACTAATCAAAGTTCACATTCAACAAATAAATATAAACTGTCTAATTTCGCCTGCTCTCTGTGTGTTCAAGGGTTTGACTGATCTTGTGGAGCTGATAATATTTTGCCTACAATTAGCCATTTCGGATTTATTAACGCCTTTCTGTGTGGTTGAACAGACATGAACAAACATGAGACATTGATAACTCCGTTAGCAGACTTTGTGAATATTGAGTGTACTTCGACTCAAAGAAGGCATCAAAATTAATTTGTCGCATTCCTACTGCTAATTGCTTCGCTTTGTGAGCACGTGTCCCACACACACAACTCAGTGTTTTGGAATCGTCTTGAAGCAGCCGAGTGTTTAGGCTGAGATAAATTTCGATCAATATTTGGTTGTACATGACTGACAGATTCCCCATCCGCTAAAGCCTTCTGCATGTTATCATTCTCTTAATTATCTAATTATTCTGAATAGTTCATCTTTCACTGCTTATGATGTAATCGATTCGAATAGACACTTAAATCTGAATTATTCCTCATATGCAGACAAATCTCACGTTGAGCGATATAACCGTCCAACTGCTACAATTAATTGCTACCCTTCAGTTTTCGTTTTCCTCGGATTATCAATACGTATTAAATTTCATTTGATCAAAGAGGATAACTAATCGTATTCGTGTTATGTTTCACTGTTACGCTTACACATCCATTCCTACTGTAGGGCAGATTTGAGACGGGAAAAACAAAAGTAACTTGAATTTGAATTATAACCTGTTTTATTAGATATTATATGTTGTGCGCTGTGCCAGTTGGCGACAACCGACAAAATGCATCACAGTGCATGCATTTTATGATTAATTAAATAATCGTTGCTCAACAAAGAGACGGAATAGCCACGCATGCATACAAAAAAGAAAACACAAATCGTTTGCCCACAACTGGATGATACTGGGAACCAGAATGCTTGTCACCACCTGAAAATGAATAGACAAAAAACACATTAAGCATCATGTCTCAGTCTGATCCACAAATGTGCAAATGAAATTCCCGTCTGTTTCGATAGTGAAACTGACGGTCATCATTATAGAATTTCGCCATCAAGCAATGACAGTGTCAACGCCATTGAGAAAAGGACACAAGTATTTCATCACTCCACAACGTATGATTTCCAACTAATGAATACGCCATGTGAGTATGGCATTGTGCAAACAAATCAGCCGACCTGTATACACGTGTCAGGAAATCGGTGGGGCGAGATCACATATATTATCATCAAGGTGGAAATACCGAGCATTTTGCATATACATGTCTAACGAAGACAAACATTGAGTGGAGACAGCCCACTATATCAATTCAAATAACAGCTGGTGTGCAAAAAGAAAACGAGATATTTCACATCGACAAACGAATGCGAAAATGTGGAGCAGATCTCACCTTGAAGGGATGAATGGTGGAGCACGTCGGTTGTGGTGGAATTATTCGCCTTAATGCGTGCACTGTCGACAGCTGAAATCACTAGAACCGTAAGAAGCAAGTAGCAAATCTAAACAGAATGAAACATGAACATCACCATCAAATGTCACACACTGACTCACCATTCTCACTGAGTGCCACTGATACCCGTCGATGAGGATGATGATGGAAACCCAGGAATATGGATGCGTATTTATACTTAGCGAGAAGACTGTGATGCGAACACATATGGTGGTCGTTCAATGAGTGTGACCAATAGAAATATTCTGATATACACTGTGAGTGGGTGAGCTGTAGACTGAGAAATCATAACTTCATCTCTTGCATACCAACTCCAAAATTACCTACACACAAACACAACAAAATATCGTCATGATGACCACTTAGACACTGAATTAGGCACTGATATATCACGCATCCACACAAAACAAACACTCATTTTCGTCCACTCATCCAAACACATGAATAGTGTACATCAGAATCTTTCACTGTGTGTGTGTCCTAGTGTGTGTTTGTGTCAGTGAGTGTGTTTGTCTCATCCAGACGCCCCCTGTTTCAGTTCGTCTGTCCTTCATGAATTCCACTGAGACAACCACGTGCATTTATTATATTCCAACATGCTGAGTGGAAGCACTCCCACGTTTCTCACACTCTTAAGTAGACGAAGCAATTGCAGTTGAGACTTTTGTGGTTGAATGCGAATAAGCGCATGATGAGTGATGCGGCCTTTGAAATGTTGTCAGTGTCAACCTAATGAAAGTGAAATATTCTTCCAAATTCTGAAGAGATGGGGATGGTGTTATGAAATGAAAATTGTCGAAGAGAATCCAGCCATTACTCGTTATTATTGTTGTTCTTCCACTGAATCCGGTTGAGAACATAGAGATAGATTCCTCGTCTTATCTATCCTCTCCACCTGGTCCCACAATTCACCATATTCTCTGATCTCATTTTCGTATGGTCTCCATCATTTCACCCTCGCAACCTCATCCATGTCCTCATCTCCTATTCGCCATCCACTCGAGCGATAGGCTGCATTGAGTGTGGTGTCACTCAACCATCTCCTCAGTGGCGTGTACACAATCCATCCTCATTTTCTTCACAACATTTGTTCGGCAACAGGTTCTCGCTCGCTTGTTGGTTCGTTCACAGAGTTTCTTGTTGACTGGCCATTGCACTTCAGGTATGCAGTCATCGAAGCCGGCTTGTTTGAAATGCTTTCGTGACTCGCAGTGCACGCTTCTCACTCACTCACATAGAGGAAGAGACTGACTGACTCAGCGCGCATGTCAACATTCCAAATCTTCTGTCTATCCTGACTGAGTCAGTGCAGATGATTTTCAAACTGACTTCAGAGTGATGATGAATGTTTGTTTCGCATTTCCGATTCTCTCTGGTTAGAAATCCATATCCGTTCCGCCCGCCTGTAGTTGGAACGATGCTTTCTCTAGACAGTGAAATGATAGAAGTGACCTCTTTCAAATTTCTTCCGTCGATGGGGAAGCCATCCCCCACCAGTTTGTGACAAACTCTCGTTCTTCTTAGATCGATCCTTGCGTAAAATGTCTTAGACACAGAACGCAATCTCACCCTGCGTCTCCCTAGTCACTGATTTCAGAGTTGAGGATGTGGAAAGGAAGAATGCGAAATGTCATCATTGACTTGTGTTCTGCAAACTTATTACGATTCACCAATTTCGCATAGGATCCACAATACATGGCATCTCCAAGACATTATTAAGAGAGTAGTTATAAAGCGGCCTTCGTAATTTCGTTGGAAACTTGTTTCACTAATCTGTCGAGTTTGAACCTTAACCGAAATGAGATTGCGATTTAATCTAAACAAAAGACGATTTTACATCTTTGCAACGGTTATACTCGCTGAATTGTCATTGGAGTGTGTAAGAATGGACACGGAAAGCTTTATAAGACAAATGATTTCGCCCGCACCGCTAGATCAGGAGTCGAATGTACTTAATATGAGCAGAAGCGAAACAACAGGCATTGAAACAACTACAGAAACATGAACCGAGCTATTTTCAGCACGTCAGCAAATAGAGGCGACACTGCTGTTGTTATGAATTGTATTGAGAATAATGAGAATAATCTGTGGGACAACCAAATGCTGTAACCCATGTTCAAGTCACCATGAAAAAATCAGGTGCTACTTTATGGATATGATGCTATGCAGAGGATGAAAGATGTCACTGTGACCAGGCTTCAAATAGTGTGACTCATGTGTGGACCGGATCGCAGAGCAAAGCCTCCAACTGAAGCAGACTAAAGAATGAGAGTCGGTATCCAGCTCAAAAATGCTTTCCACATCGTCCCCACGCTGTCATATTCCAGAAGCATCTCCAACGTGTGAGTCGATTATCTTCCAACTTTTCGTGTAGTGTTTCATGACCTAGTCTTTTGGGGAATACTATTCATTCTTCAGTCTCTGCACAGTACGATCTTATCAAGCTCAGGGAGATACAAAATATTCCTGTGGTTTGAGATGACACAGAGTGGCTTCCACCGGTTTCTCCTCAATGAAAATAATAACTTACCTGTAGGCGATCCTGAGGGAATTTCCCGGAGTTAACTTAGACAGCGTGAATAACTCTGCTGCAAATTTTACTCATAACACCACCAAACTGGTACTAAATCGTTGTGGGAAATACTCGGTTGCCATTCGTCAATACTTCCATCTGCGTGAAACGATCTGCCGGTTGCTCACTCACACAGATGAGCAATAATCCATGTGGAATAAAATCGAACCATGAAGAGCAAATACCAAGTTGTGGATAAGGCAAACCACCGGATTGATTTTCCAGGACCATGGGAATTCTATCAACTCTATGGAATATGAACCGTGACGATTGTTTACGTTATCCTGAAGTCATTTCCATTTCCGGAACGTTTTCGCCACTTTATTACAAAATATTTACATGAATATACAGCCTAGTTGATGACTTCGTCAAAAATGAAAATTCTCTTCTCTTCAAATGTCTTTTTATTTTCTTTTTCCAACCCGTGTCACCCAGTGCTGCTTTTGATTGGACACAAGGTGGTTAACAACCAGTGTAATCTGTCTAATCCTTTGTTTGGTGCAGATTGAATTCGATCAGGCAGAGTATATCCAATACAATCTTACAGCAGGAGGTCAGTCACCAGTCCGAATACCTGCTCACTGGTAACACGTCTCTGACTGCCAGTAGCACTGGTTGATGCCTGTTTCGGATCTCAGAGGGGTGGGACATGAGTTCCTTCAAGGCGGTTATAGATACGTCTTGCTGACTGGTTAGTGCCAATCGGCATGAGACCTACTATGTATAGGTATGGTTTCCTGCTGATTGCCTCCAATCATCTAATATCAACAATTCACAGTGCACTGTGATGGCAAGCCACCTGGTGGTAGTGGCATGGTGGTCATATATGCAAAAAATGACTAACTGATAGATATTTTATCATCATTTATTATTTTATTTAAACGCAGAGAAAACTTGGTACAATATAGCACCAAGAAAGATGCGCCAAACAATAATAATAAAACAATATAGAATAAAAGTGAAAATATAAGTAGAAAACGGATAAAGAACTTCATCAGGAAGGAAAACAGTTATACTTAACAAGTTCAAACAGTATTCGTCAACTATCATCAGGAAGGGAAGAGAGAAGGAAATTGCAGCACGTTCGCCATTGATTACGATACTTCGCCATATCCGATAACGTTTCGAGCCATCGATTCCAACTATCTCTCAGACTCCAACCAGGGGGACGTGACGTATCAACCGATACTAACTTAACAGATTTTAACTTAAGGGCTGGCAATTTAGTCAGTTTTCAACCCAAATCCTGACCTAGTGTTTGGCATGCTGACATAGTCGCTGTAAAGGAGCGTGCTTCAACTGCTGACTGGTCAGTCGATATGCTCTCATCCATTGAAGATGAATGGGATAGATTTAAGAATACACTTGAGAGGGTTACCACTGATTTCATTCCCTGGAGGGTTCCTAAAAGGCCAACAAATCGGCCACCATGGATAAATAGACAAGCTATAACACTCCTAAGACGGAGAAAAAGGTTCTGGAATCTCTTTGTTTCTACTGGGCTTCAGCAGTTCCGGCTGAAATACTGTGAAACCAGAAACCAGTGTAAAACTTTGATTCACCAGTCAAGGATAGCTTACGAAACCCAGTTAGTTAAGAGTTCACCAGGCTGCCCAAAAAGACTCTTCTCATATATCAAGAGAAGAACACGTAAGAGTGATGCTATTCCACCTCTTATGCTTGAAGATGATCAGAAAAACATGGCTGAGGATAACTTGACTAAGGCTGCGGCTTTGTCCAAGCACTTTAGTCAAGTATTCTCTGATAATATTGATACCGGCTTTGTAACTTTTCCAGAAGGTAACTTGAAAATGGCACCCTTATACATTGGAAAGGATACTGTCCTAAAGTGGCTTCTAAGGCTAAATCCTGGTAAGTCCAGTGGCCCTGATGAACTCCACCCACGTATATTAACAGCATTGGCTGAAAACATAGCCGAGCCATTGTCGGTAATCTTCAATATGTCTCTGGACCAGTCTAAATGTCCAAGAGACTGGAAAGATGCCATCATTAGTCCGGTCTTCAAAACCGGATTTAGAAACTTAGTTCAGAACTATCGTCCTGTTAGTTTGACCAGTATGGTTGTTAAACTACTAGAAAGAATAATTCGTGATGCTATCATTCAGTTCATTGAAGGGAACAAACTTTTCGCTGTGGAACAGCATGGTTTTAGAGCAGGTCATTCTTGCTTGACCAACCTTCTTTTGGCCAGAGAAAGTTGGGCAAGCTCAGCTGATGCTAATATACCGGTGGATGCCATATTCATCGACCTTAGCAAGGCGTTTGGCAGGGTTTCTCATTCAGGTCTTCTAGTAAAGTTAGGCAGTATGGGAATCAATAAAGTGGTTGCCGACTGGATTCAAGACTTTCTAAAGGACAGAAGACAACGAGTACGAGTTAACGGGGTTTTATCAACATGGGAGTCTGTTAAGAGTGGCGTTCCTCAGGGTACAATTCTAGGCCCACTTCTTTTCCTGATTTATGTTAATGAGATTCCATCGGTAGTTAGGTCATCCTGCTTACTGTTTGCTG